ATCTGACTCTTCCAAACACAAAAGATTGCATAATAGATACCCAACCACAAAATTAATTTTTCCCAAATATAAGTATAACCATTAAAATGAACTAGTAACTCCCAATTTGTTTACTTCAAAAAATCTACCCACATAAGGTCACCCCATTTCTTGTTTCGTCCGACAACATACTCTATTAAAACCATAGAGAATATTATATGATGTTATCTTGACTTCAAAATCACCATTTGTATCGTCTAAAAGACCACAAAAGTAAGCATGGTCAACCATCACCAATTGTTCCTTTAAGCAATCTACCAATCTCAACTTTAGTGAATCATTACTAGAAGGCGGCTCCCTTATAATATAAGCTGGTACTCTAACCTAAAAGGTCAAAGTTTGAAACTCAAAAATCATCCCAAAACATTTTTCTCTAAAACATCATCATAAAAAACTAGTGCACTTCGTTGCATTGATACTTAGGAGAAAATGCTCTATTGGATGCCAGGAGCAATGCTCGTTCTTAACACTCCTATAAACATATTATCTCATAATATCATCACTTCACACCATCAAATATACTTTTTCCGACTTATATGACCAAAAGGACTTTGGGAACCTTAACCTCCTCCATAAAGATAACATGACTATAAATGCCCACTTGTGTGTTGCAACCTAGACTCTGATACCACTCTTGTCACACCCCAACTCCAAGGACATGACCGGTCGTGAACCATAGATCCATAACCTATGGAACACATAAGCCTAACAATAAACTAATAATATAGGAGTGGAAAACAACATTTACACTAAATTGATCTCATGTCAATATGTCAAAGTCAACATACCTAAACCTGTTTGTCCCAATTATCCAAACAAGTAAAGATGGCTATAAGATATATGCTACGGAGGTCACAACACTATTAGTCCCCAATCAATTCCTCAAGTCCACTATTGACACTCCAATCGTTTTCCTAGAAAAATATTACTTTGGAAAACATTAGCTAAAAAGCCCAGTAAATGGAAAGGCATGCATATTCAAAGTGGCTGAAAAATATTTTTTGCATACGACATGTAAATCAAAGATTTGAAACAATAACTTCATCAAGATAACCAATTTCTCAAGAATAACACAATCGGGTTTCAACAAGAAATCATACCACAACGGTGAATCATATCATAATGGTGAAAACTGTACGATATCCAATAATCGATGAAAACCAAATACCAAATACCAAAATATATCTCAGGATTGGATCCAACATCGTACTTAGGGTCACCACAGCCTCCCCCGGGTCTGTTCCCTAACACGATCCGGTGACGATCACCAGGATGCACCAAGTACTGTTCCTTCAACCGTTGAGCACTAGGGTCACCTCAGCCTCCCCCGAGTCTGTTCCCTAGTGGCCAGAGTCACACGCACACAGAAGAATAATTTCCCTGGACTTTTAATTTTGGTCTCATTCACCATCACTAAGTCTCACCATATAAATAAGTGATTGAGTCACAATACTTCACAAAAGAATTCATCAAAGTAAGGAGAATCATATGTCAGAAGTACTTAGACACTTAGTAATACATTTTGTAAAGGTAGTAATGAACCAGCATGATGTATTGTTTTTAAAATGTTTAGGTATACGAAAAATTTTCGAAAATACGTAGCATGCCAAACTACTTATCTCAAGTCTACATGATATGTTTTTTGAGTGTTGCTTGTTACCCGAAATGAGAAGTTATCGATGTCTTTCCTCTTTCTCTCACGATTTCTTTTCTCCTTTGATAAGGTGTTCTTCTTTTCTTCTTCTTTTACTCTCTATTCTTTCTTGAAAGTAGAAGACTACTTGTGCACTTTTATTCTTAATCCAATCCCCAAATGCCCTATTTATAGGTATCCTAGGATTATTCTAGAGAATATTGACATGTGACATTTTTAGGGGAGATTTCTTAGAATATTCTACCATATCCCCTCTCCTAGATCCTTCTAGGTTTCAAGTTTATTTTGCACATAGCAATTCCACAAGTATCTAGATTCATCTATGATATTCTAAACTCTTCTCCAACCTTCTACGGAACTTTTCGGAGCATTCTAAATGCTTTTATAATCTTTTAGTATTTCCTAAAACCTTCTAAAATATTTTAGACTTCTCTAAATTGTTCTAGAACTTTTCAGACCTTTTTAGAAACTTCTTCAACATTCTAGATTCTTTTAAATTGTTCTAGACTATTCTAGATTTTTTTAAAAAAATTTTCTTATTCCTTCGAAGATAATATTCTCTAACTAATTCCTTGCCAAAATGGAACGGAGTATTTCAGGAAAAAGTTGTTTTGGTCTCCTTGCGCTGCACATTGCCTAGATCTTATTTTGATGGATATTGGAGACTTCCTCTACACAAGTATATAATGGCAAAGGCAAGGAAAATCACAGTTTACATCTATAGACATTCTTGGGTGTTAAATCTTATGAGGAAGTATACAAAGAAAAAGGATATTGTGAGAGCTTGTGTGACCACATTTACCACCTCATATTTAACTTTAAGGAGTTTATTTGAGAATAAAATTAGACTTAGAGTAATGTTTACTTCTGAAGAATGGTAGAAAAGTCAATACTCTAACAAAGGAGATGGTGTAAAAGTGATGGATATTAGACTTGCTGACCAAAATTTTTGCGGATCAATCAAGTATTGCTTGAAGTGTGTGTTGCCATTGGTGAAGGTGTTGAGGCTTGGTGATGGGGATCTAAAGTCTGCCATGGGGTATATTTACAAGGTAATGGACAAGCCAAAGGAACAAATCCAAAAGAATTTTCGTAATGTGAAGAAGCACTATGAGCCCATATGGACTATTGTTGACACTAGATGGAACTTACAATTACACTGACCTCTTCATGCAGCTGCCTATTATCTCAATCCAGGGAAAGATTTAATTTTTTTCATTTTTATATCATTTTATATCAATATATTGTATACTAATCATTATAAATCAAAATAACTTTCAGGATTTATTACTTTAATGGTAGTGTAGACTATGAGATAAAATGGGACTTTATCAGACTATTCAGAGAATGTGCCCAAGTCCTGTTCTAATAGAAAAAGTTGATAAACAATTGGATATCTTTCACAGTGCCGATTTGATGTTTGGAATGGACATGGCAATCCAGATGAGGAAGAAGAAACAACCTCGTTAGTGGTAACTAACTTAAGTTAGTCATTTAATGCAATTTGCTTAAGTTAGTTAATGCAGTATTCTTTTGTAATTTTTTATAGCCTTATGGTGGGAATCATTTGGAAGATGTTGTCCAGAGTTGCAACAACTTGCTATCCACATCCTTAGCTTGACTTGTAGTGCTACAGGATGGGAGAGGAATTGGAGTATATTTGACCAAGTGCACTCTAAGAGGAGGAATCGATTAGAGCAACAAAGATTAAGTGCACTTGTGTTTGTGAAGTACAATCTTCGATTGGAGGCAAGCACCAAAAAAGAATACTAAAGGGTGATTCCTATGACCCTATTGCTCTCTCAGATATGGAATCTGATGATGAGTAAATCACTGAAAAAGAAGATGCACTCTTTCCTAAGGACACTACTTAGATGAATGTTGATGAATGTTTTGAGGTTCACGAAAGGGAATAACATAAAGAGAAAGAGAGGTAAATAGTATATAATTAAAATATAGTGGTTGTTTTTTCTTCTTCTCCATTACTTTGAATATCTTTTTTATATTTTGTATTGGTTGTTTTGTAGAGCCGAGCGATCTTTCTTTAAACAAGAAAAAGAGGAAGCAAATAATTCAACTTGAAGATGAGGATGAGGATGAAGAAATACAAGAAGTTGAAGATAATGAGGTGAAGACTTGTTGGCATCCGATCACAATGATGATGATGATGATGATGATGATGATGATGCATTTTCAATTGAAATTGAAGATTGACTTCTAAATGGATGTTTAGAAGTTTGGATTAGAAGTCTCTTGGGTGTTTGAAGTTTGAATTAGTGAACTATGGTGTGAACTTTGTATTATAATATTAGTGAACTATGTTGATGACTTAAATAGTTGGTGGAGTGTTAATGAAATGCTATACTTTTATGAGTCTATTATTTTTTTTCAAACGTATATATATTTTTTTATTATTTATTTAAAATTGTGTCGTATCTTACGATGCACGATACGATACGATACACTATTTTTAAAAAACGATACGTCTTCCGATACACAATTTGATAACTATGTTCTGATATAGGTATTGATGTGCCTTTTCTATAAAGATGCACAGTGACAACCAAGTAGCCATTTTCATTGCGAGTAATCTAGTATTTATGAGCGTACTAAATACATCAAGGTGGATTGCCACTCCATTAGAGATAACTTGATACAAAAGGAGATTGGCATTCCAAAAATTAAGTCTAATATTATTACCAAGTCAATGGCTCGATTTGCCTTCAGTAGTTTCAGCTGCAGCTTAAGGGGGAGAGTTAGAGTTCTTATTTTATGTATTAGTCATAATGATGCAATCAATTTCTAGAGAAAAGAAGATATAATGCAAATATGCCTTTATAAATATAGTACTGGGGACATTTTCATAATTGTAATGAACCCTTCGGGTTTTGTTAGAGGCTATAACTAAGCCTTTAAGGGTGCAATATAGGAAGCTGGCAAAAATGAGACTTTTAAGTCCTTGACAAAGCCTTTGGCTCTTTATCCTTCTCATCTCCCTTATCTCTTCTCTCTCCTTGTGGATTCAAGGCCCCCTAATGTATGTTAGGGTTTTCTCCCCTTTCTTTACTCTCCTTGAGGTTTCAAGGCTTCCGGTGTCTCTAGAATTTTCCCCATTTCTTGCTCATCTCTCTCCCCCTCAATATCCTATCTTTTGTATACAAATCCTTTATCTATGAAAGAGTATAAAACTGCAGATTGGGAATTTTGCCTGTCATGTGTTCAATAAAATGCTCAAGAACCAGGTTACATCAGCTTCATATCAGTGCCTAAGCTCCATAACTGCGATCTGACACTACGATTGTCTTTTTCAAGCTTGACTATCGCTGCCCTCATCATTTCTCAGCACCGAACCAATTACTACGGAAGAGGAAGATGGCTTGTCTAGTTGCTGTCGTGCCCACATATAAGGGGAGAAAAACAGACTGGCAAGTTGCTCATCATCATCAACATTCGACATTTTTGCTGCTGACAAGTTAATATGGCAAAAAATTTGCAGCTAGAGTAGAGTTAGAAAAAAAAGATTTGCCCAAACCCATTGATGATTCTGACACAACCAACAGCTCAATTTTCTGAAAAATTCTAGACTAGCTTTGACAACCACAAACTTTTTAGAAATCACAGAAAAGCACCAAAATTAAAAAAAATCCAGAATAGCCCCAACTTTTGAAAATAAAGCAGGAAAGTCACAAAATTTTGGGAAATTGCAAAAAATTTTGGAGCATATTTGAAGCAATCAAATCAATCTACAAATCCGTTTGTATACTTGTCAAGATACTTGTCTCTGCCCCCTCAATATCTTATCGTTTGTATACAAATCCATATATATGAATAAGTATAAAACTGCAGTTTGTGAATTTGTCAGCCGTGTGTTCGATAAAATTCTCAAGAACCAGGTAATATCACATAATTGGCAAGTATAGGATAATATTGTGACTACCCTAAATATGTTTGTACTATAAATTAAAGAGTGTAGGGCAACACAAGCTACACACATATTCCTCTCACTTTTTCTACCTTTCTTCTCCCCTTTATCATTCTCCTTTCAAACCCTAGTACCACTTACTACTTCAAGTATCACCTATGCAATTTGTAGAATTATATGTCATTTACTACTTCAAGTATCACCTATGCAATTTGTAGTATTATATGCTCTTTAATAGTGAACCTAGCCAAGAACTTAATAATCTCCATTTTTTTTGGACGAAATAATCTCCATTTATAAGAACCTAATTATTTGATATACAAGTACTCTAATTTCTGCTTTCTGTTACTTATAATCTTTGCCCTTTTTCAGCTTCCATCTGTAATCTCTACGCATGTAACATTCATAACCGAGTTGCTAATACCAATTATTATAAGGAGCAGCTCACGGCAAAGGCAAATATAATATTGTAAAACATGTTCCTGCCACATGTTTGCCGATATTTCAGAGTTCAGACATTAGTCACAGACGAAATATCAAATCCTGATAAAAAGAACTTAATGAAGGATTATTTACCCAAAGAAAAAAGATAAATGAACTTAATGATGAAGTATTCACACATGCATCTCTAAGGAATGTGTTTGGGTCTCGAACCTAAATGGCAACAAAGGTCGGTCATTAATCCCAGCCCATAGATTCCAACCAACAAAATCTGCTTGCTGAAAAGCCACCTGCGAGATTTATGACAGCACATCACACCCTAGTCGAGAAGGATGAAAAATATCAATAATAAGAAAGGGTTGGGGTAAGTTCACAGTTGACATGTAATCACATAGAAATTCCCACCAACTCCTTAATATTAGCAAATATCATAAGTCAAGTACCTGTGCTGTGGCCGGAAGCAATTTTCCATTCGACTCCCTCAGTGAAGAAGAGTCACCAATTGCGAATATGCGCGGGTGGCCCTTGACACAGAGAGTTTCATCTGTTTCTGCCTGTCCCCTGGCATTCAGAGGAAGCCCATGAGGACTATCAGAGGGTTCTAACATAGGAAGTAGAGGTTTAGACCCAACTGTCCATAAAACTAGATCTGCTTCCAGAATTTGACTTTGTAAGCCCCTTTCAGCAGGCTGCAACTCCAGTATCAGTTCTTCAGGATCATGAGCTACTGCTGCATCAAGATTTGCTTCCAGAGTAGGGTTTTGTGAATTCCGGAACCCACCCGCTCTTCTTATGCAGCGGACAAAATAACCCAGTAGAACTTGAACCTTCCTGGCAGACAGAACCTGCCAAAAAATGGCAAACGAACTTTGAATTTGGAATAGATGAATGTGACACAAATATACTAACATGATATCAACAGAAAGTGATAAGAGCTAACAAAAGGAGCTATGTTTTCACATGCACATAGTGCACACCTCATGGTATCAAGTTTAATTTCAACATCCCCAATTTAATATTACAAAAAATCTAGAAAGATTTAGAAAACTCACCCACCAAAATGAACTAAAAATACAGCCTCCCAGAAGGCCGAAAAAAATGTGCAATTCACTTGATCATCATTTCGAATGATAATAAACATTACTATTAAGTCCTCGGAATCCAAAAGCATTCTTGAGCACGAAGAAATTAAGTGTTTAGAAAGAAGAATCAAAAACATCTTGACTGCTGCACAAATTCCGTGGCTCAAATAAACAATAACTAAATAGCATTTGCTGAGAGATGGTGAGTATTCAACACTGAGAACTATATTATTAAATATGGAATAAATGTGGAAGGTATGTGATATGTATCCTTGAACATCCGATGGTTATCGGTATCCGATACATGTTATGTGTAGATACTTCACCCCAGTTGAAGTATACGTGCTTCATAGATTCACATAATCTACACTAGCTCAGTTACACACAAGTAGAGTCAATATAATTTAATTTTGGCATCTCGGGAGGTTGTATACTATCTTTACCTACAACTTGTGATACACTCCCATCTCCAAAGGCGATAAAACGACCACATTATTAGTGGCAAAAATGGGAATTATCTTTGATCATGTGCCTAGAACAACCACTACCAAAATGCCATCTCCTCAACACATCTGCTATCAAGGCAATGTGAACCACTAGACAAATATCATTTCCCTTTCTCTCTCGTAAGGACACCTTCTCACTACAAACTACAAGCACAACCCTTTTGGATTCCTTAATCTTATTGTTTAGTACATTCTCTAGATGACCCGAGACTTCTACACATGATTAGTCTATTGTTCTCTTTAGGGTTAAGACACCACTCAAGCGGTAATACCTACTATTAAGAGAATCTTACTCGAACACCATATCAAGGTTTGGGAACCAATGTCTAAGAAAACCTAGATGAACCTAGAGGGGGGAATTGATCTTTTCGAAATTAAATCAAAATCAACCAATTAAAATTAATTCTATCAACAATCATAAGGCGGTGTGGGACATACACAAATTAACCAATCAAATCAACAATTCATGGCATAGGTAATCAAGAATCACATGCAAACAATACACAGATTTTTTTTTATTTTTTTTTGAAAAGAAATTGTTAGATCATATATTTGTAATTGGCTAATTTCATGAAATCTATGTAAATCTCAACAAGCTTTAAAGATTAAGATCTGTAAGGACAAGATATGGGAAGGAGATCAAGCTACAATGCTAGATCAAGACTACTCCGATGCACCTTCAAGCTTAGGACAAAGGCAATGACCTTAGAGACCTAGATCCCTTGATTTAATTTTAGACTTAGGATGTTTTACATGAATAAAATGAAATTTGCAATATCTGAAAAATGACTCCTAAGGTTTTTCATTGAAAATATTTTCTAAACCTTAAATGTGTTTTGAAAAGATAGTTTGAGTCATTTATCAGACCGTATTTGAGCAACACCCTTTAATGCTTAATGGGTCAAGTTTTTGTTTGGTTTTTAGCAAAAAAATCAGTACGAATCGCTCTATATTGGCTAACCTTCGATAGAATGATTTCTGAAACACTTTGGGGGACAAAACTGGAGAAACTAGTGAAGTATGATTGATGGCCACCCTTCGACTGCCCTACCACCGCTTGAGCGGCCTGGAGGTCACTCAAGCAGTCGTTGATCGATCTGTCCCCCAAAGGTCTAGCATAACTTATCTTTTACTCAACACCTATGACCGCCCTCCCATTGCTCAAGCGGTCAACACGAATCTGTATTTTCTTGGTCACCAAGACAGACCCTATTTTATGTCTTATATATATGAGACTATGTCTTATACCTAGGGTAAGCCTCTATGTACTAGAATAGACCAAAAATCCTTGTAGAGTGTTTCAAGAATTATCTTAAATCCCTAAGATTAAAGACCAACCATATTGATTCTTCCATTCAACCTCATACATTGAAAAAGAAGATATTGATTGGTGTCAACCAAAACCCAATTGGAGAGTGTGCATAACGAGATCTTGGGTGTAAAGCCTTGAAAATTGCTCGAGGCCTAAATGAACTGTGTGGAAGGAAGTTGAAGTGAAGCTAGTCATAACGTCAAAAGAGGGCCTTTGGTGGAGAGATCTACAAAGGAAAGTAGCATCTAACCATATGGATTGGTTGAGGCATATGCTTCGAATACTTGTAGATTGACTTTAGGTTTAGTGGATTAGGCTTTAGTGAATCGAGAAGGTTCCTTGCAATTTTTTTCGAGAAGGGTTTCAACATTAACAAACTGTATATGTTCTTTATTGCTTTAATTTTCTTGTACACTTTCACTGTTGCACACACGCTCACCATGTGTTTGATAAATTGATTGTTTATCTTTTAAGTCTTTAATAGTGGTTTTGGAGATTGTGGCTTTGGTTGGGATCAAAAGAAGATTGTGGATTGGTTGGTGTTGATTGCATATTCATTCATCCATTCACACTCTTAATGTGTTGTTTAGGGTTCACACTTAAATTGTCATATCTTTGGGAGAAGAGGTAATTATGGTAGATATAAGTTAAAATTGGAGGTCATTCGAGCTTTATTTTAAATTAACATATTCACCCCCTAGATCTGGCGTGTGATTCCTCGTCTATTATCAAATGGAAAGATTCTACACTTGAAATGTTGTATTGTCCCTACAAAAATAACATTTTATTGACAATCAAACGAAATCATTACAAGAAAACCAAATCAAGTGTGGACAAGGAATCGTACACAATAATAAGCCACGAAAACAAATAAAAAGTAATAAACAAAATTTTGGAAGAGCGTTACCACAACAAAAAACACCGACTTATAGTAATTCAAATGAAAGTTTATTAGACTAGTCTCACCAAGATGGCGGAGAAACTTACTTCCAAGAGAGCTGCTATCACATCGATAATTACTTATGGAGAAAGGGCCTATGCAAAAGTCACCTTTTATGCTAGGGGACCCCAGACACATTATGTTTTTAGCTTGTCCTAAAACAAAAGAGAAGAATATATTCAAACTCCTTAGACATTGAGGCCCAAAAATAAACTCTACCCTATAATCACTCTAACTAGTCATATTTATCCTAAAAAAATACTTGCATTCCTTTCTTTCTAACTCTACCATAATATGGTAAAGAAATCACAATTCCAAATGGTCTACCATTTACCATTTCCCCAAACCCCACATCTTCCAAACAAAACATAGATATGGTTCTTGGAGCAACCCAAGAAAAGGCAACTAGGTCAAAAAGTTTGTCCCATAATGCTCGCGCCAAAGGACAAGGCAAAAATAAGTGGTCCACACTCTCATTATCACTTCTACACATAACATACCATTGTAGTTGAAGATAATAATTAGGTTTCCTCTTTTGAAGGATCTCATTAGTACTAATCTTGGTATGAATAATTATCCAAGCATAAACTTTCACCTTTAAAGACACCTTCATCTTCCAAATCTCTAAAACAATACATAGGTTGTTCAAAATCATAATACGAGGTAGAAGGCACGCGATTTTTTACGTGTAAACTAGAAAAGGAAAAACTCATGGAACCTAGTCCAACTTAGAATCAACTAGATAATTGTAAATTGTAATATCACGTCTAAAAACAATAATAAATTAGAATTAGCTAAGACAAATTGAAGTTGGTGACCAGATGATGGGGACTGAAGCCCCGGTAAACGACGGTCGTAACTATAATAGTCCTAATGTAGCGAAATTCCTTGTCAAGTAAGTTCCGACCCTCACAAAATTTAGGGTGCAAGAATGGATTATATGATTATTGGGACACAAAGTAGCAAGACATAATTATGAAATCTCGTAAGAAAGTCAGGTAGAAGCTGCCAGGCCTTAAAGGCCCTTTTGGTTGAATAATAGGTGAATAGTTGATTTTTATCTATATAAAAATAGTTTTGAAAGACAAGAAGGTTATACAAGGGGACAAAGGTCCAAATTATGAGCATGTGGGTGCGAGTAGTCATAGAATGCAATAAAATAAAGAAGTGGTGGCTTGACATCTGAAATGTAAAGAAAAAAGAATAGGGCGGAGTGTGAAGCGGTGTGAGCCACTAACAAAGAGAGAAAGAAACTAAAGTTATGAGAATAAATAGTGAGGTTTCGATTTAAGGCTCATGTGGTGATTCACAATTTAATTCTTACAAAATCAATTGGGAAGAGTTTGTCGGCGTGATTATAGTGTCAACTAAGGATTTAGTATGTGGATCATATGTAGTATTCATAAATATCTTGGTCATCTGACACGAGCATCATGTTGGCTAACTCCTAATAAGCTTCCGTTTTAAGTCTCTTTGCAAAGAGTGTATTTTGTTGTTATCGTTCAAAATTATATTCTAAATATTGCAACACCTCTCAAATTCCTTTAACTATTTGTTTAATATTCCATTGCAGATATAATGTCAGAATATTTTTATGGCGAATTGCTTGCGCAATTATCAATACATGTGTCAGATGCACTAAATGGCTTGGCTATGATCATGGATGTGATTCTAGCCCTAGGGGCATGACTGAAATCGGTATGCACCAAGTTGCACCTAACATGTCGACACAAACCAAGAATAAAACTATGGGTAATTTGGAACGATTGGAATATTCAATTTCTTGTGATAGACACAATGTATTTGTAAAGCAATATGTTAATTCATGCTTCTGCAATTGATCATTGGTTGTTGATTATCGTTTGATCCTCCTATTCAGTATATTATGTTTTGTTTTACTTATTAGGCCCCACGCTCACCCCATTTACCGTCTTAGTTGCCGGTTGATCTTGTAGTAAAAGTTGGTAGGTGATCGGGTCAATTAAAGAATTGAAATCTTTCAGTAACGAATCATTTGTGTATTTTCAAGGTGATATGGACGATTGTAATTAATTTTATTATCGAAAGCTTT